CATTCTGCTTTACGCTTTCCATCTGTAATCATTTGTGAAAATGGATCACGTTCACTTGGAATTGATGCATTATGTATTTTATTACGAAGATTAGTTTATCCTAATAGACTTGATGATATTTCTGTTTTGTTGGGGAGATCAAAAAATGAACTTTCACGATTTGTGCATGAAACAGTAAATATCATATACAATAGCCATTCCAAATTGTTATTGAATATTGACAAGATAAAACTAACAAGAGAAAAATTAAATTTATTTAGCCAAGTAATAACAGCAAAAGGTGCTCCTTTGACAAATTGTTGGGGGTTTGTAAATGGAACGGCACATCCTATTTGTCGACCAATAACACATCAAAGGGTGGTATTCAGTGGCCATAAACGTATACATTGTTTGAAATTTCAATCAGTGGTTACACCTGATGGTATGATTGCTAATTTATTTGGACCAATAGAAGGAAGACGTCATGACAGTGGAATGTTAAGAGAATCTAATTTGTTAGAGCATTTGGCTGCGATTCCTTATTCTGAGAACGGGACCCAATTTGTTTTATATGGATATTCTGGTTATCCTTTGCATCAACACCTCATTACACCATTCCAAGATGCTAGCTTAACATCCGAGCAACAAGTATTTAATTCCAGGATGAGTTCAGTAAGAGAGTAGTGTGGAATGGGTATTTGGGAAAATAATTCAAATATTTGCTTTTCTAGATTTTAAAAAAATTTGAAATTGTTTCTTCAGCCTGTCGGTAAACTGTATGTTGTTGGTGCACTACTTACAAACTGTCACACTTGCTTATACGGTAGTGCAACATCAGATTATTTTAATTGTTTATCCCCAAATTGGACGAATACTTAGAATGTAATCAATAAATAAATATTTTTTCAATTTTATAAAAATTTTTATTCAATTTTATAACAATTTTTCTTTAATTTTTATTCAAAGTTTTCAAAAGTATTTCTAATAACGCTTGACTTTCTTTTCTCTCTGAATCAAATTTTTCTTTTTCCAGTTTCAGTCGTTCTTTATTTAAATTTAATTCTTCTCGTTTCAACCGATTCTCTCGGTCTCGCTTGCTTCGTAAGTATGAGACAAGAACGTTTTTTCTTCTTTTTTTGTGACATTGGTATCTTCATCTAATAATTAGAAATGTATAACTATTATACAATTGTCGTAATAATTATAATATAAATAATTTTTAAGTTTTTATATTTACCGGATGGAAAGTCGGGAGACGATACTCTTAAAGATGTCATCGCTGCCCAGCAATGGCTGGTGGTTGTGATTTCTCGGATGTTATCCGAGCCTCATATTTTAACTGTTTTATTTCTTGTAGAAGTTGATTACGTTCGGTAAATTCCTCTTCTGTTCCAGCTCTTCGCAAACTGGCTCGATCATTCTGAAAAGAAAACTACGATAAGCTATTTTATGAATACAGCTAGAAAAATGTTATCGACACTTTACATCGCTGGCTAAAAAATTGAATAATTAAAAATTTCTGAATTAAAATCTTCTGTTTCTTCACAATGCTACTCGTAAATGCTTAAATAATCGTTATCTTAATAAAATAGGTCATAATTTTAACTGCAAAGAGAAAAAAAAGAAGTTTAACCGATTTTCTACTCGCCATTCTACACGAAGCCAACGCCGTTATCGACCGCCTAGAATTGCCAGATGGCGGCGCTCGGACCGTCAGCCGTACACGTTTTGGCCGATACGCGTACCTCAACCTCTGTATTTTATACTTGTAAAAATAGGCTCGGTTCCGCAGTCCGTTACCGAAGTATAAGAACGCCATAAATTTTGTTTCTTAAAAATTTAATTCGAAACTATTACTGGAAATATTAATTATTTTTTATTATTATTTTAATTATTTTATCAGNGTCGAGAATAGAGGAAATTGTTCAAGGGGCCGTATCGGTTTGAAGTCTAGCCAATAGGGTTTCTGTGTGGCGAGACGAGGCGCGATGGTATATCCAAGGTACGAAAGGTTGGAGATGGTCGCAACCTTTTCCCTGAAGAATGGTAGACCAGGTATCGGTGTAGTTGTGGATGATCGATTTCTGCATCTGGCATATGAGGTCACGTGCCATGAGAGGTCTCCACCAGGAGCCGATGGGAGTGTCATGGCTAGCGGCTTGATCTGCCTCTTCATTTATGTGGATGCCAACGTGACCACGGTTTACCCGATTTCAAGGGGTGTTGGGTGAGAACTGATAGTTGCAGCTAGGTCAATAATAACCACTGGAGAGGAAAAATTTACGTTGGTGACTGCCTGGAGAACTGATTTGCCATCCGAGACAATGGCTATCGGAGTGTTAAGACGGGCGCTGAGATTAACTGCCCATTGGATGTCGAGAGCCTCCGCACTGAAGACACTGCAGCTCGTGTGTAGTGCCCAAGTTTCCTTGATCGTTTGAGCCGGAAGAACCACTCCAAAGGCCATCCGTAGGTGTGATTTTGAGGCATCTGCCCCAATGAGAGTCCAACCCCGCCAGTTGGTAGAGAGTAGATCATTAAAAAGAGCATTCAAGGCTGCCGGAGGTTGGCTGGAAGCATTTGGAAAGTTGTCAAGACAAATTCTAGGTTGAATGTTTGTGGGGCTCGGGGGTACGTACTTTTGCCGGTAGAGGTGAGAGATGGGTACACCTTCCTGACGAATCAGGGAGAGAACCCTAGAGGCATATGGGACCTGGAAGGGGCGCCAGTGGTAGTAGTCTAGACTGGAGGCTGTGCTGAAAATTTTGTAGAGAGGGCTATAGTGGCCTCTTGAGAGGTGGGTGATGGCGTGCGATATAGCCTTCTGATGCAGCCTAGACTGGAATGGAATATACCCAGACTTGGTATATAAAGATAAGAGTGGAGTAGACTTGGGCACGCCCAATGCTGTGCGAAGGGCTTCGTGGATGGGTTTTTCGATGTGACGGATAGTGGTTGGGGAGCCCCTTCCAGGAGAGGAGCGCCAAATCCCGCCATTGGGCTAAGGACGGTATAGATTAAGCGAAGGAGGTTGGCTCTCCTGGCACTGTTACTACAAGAAGCAAAAAATTTGAGGAGGTAACCAGCACGGGTCACAAGTCTCGTGGGCGTGCCAAGTGAAGTTATGCAAAAAATGAAGTCCGAGGATGCAGAGAGAGGGGCGCTGAGGGATATTACCTGAGTTAAGAGACAAAGTAAGTGAAGGGGGTGGAGTTCGGGAGAAAAGTCGACGGAAGCGCTTTTAGTGGTGGAAAAGGATAAACTCCATGTGGCTGCCCAATGTTCTAGGTGGTCCAGGGCTAATTGCGCTTTGCGAACTGCTTGAGAAGGCCTAGTACTCGAGGTTAGAATGTATAAATCGTCCGTGTAAAGGACGGCAGTGACATGGGGGGGAGAGCAGTCCAAAGGTCTGCCATGTATAATGTAAATAGAATGGGGGCAAGAATGCTTCCCTGGGGGACGCCTTGGATAAAGGCGTGAGGAGATGACAGCACTTCATGCCAACGGACGCGAAAAGAACGATGTAATAGGAATGATTTAAGCCAGGACAAGAGTCTCCCTCCCATATCGAGAAATTCTAATTTAGCTAGGAGTCCTTCTTGGCACACAGAGTCATATGCCTCTTCTAGGTTGAGTGCGACTAGGTACACCCAGTGCTTTCTTGCTTGGGCCACGGCTATATGGTGGTGTAAAGTAATAAGGATCTCTTCTACCCCTCGGTAGGGGAGAAAGCCAAAGTGGTGTTGATGGAAGATATCGGAATGAAAGGTCCATTTATGGATTCAATACAGGATTAGCCGTTCAAATAGTTTTGTGACGTGAGAGGTAAGAGAGATTGGCCTATAAGAGGCATATCGTCGCTGGGTGACCCGGTTTTATGATCGGAACAACGGTAAAAGAGGTCCAGTCTGTGGGGCAGGATCCTGAGGCCCAGAGATCGTTTAAGAGATTAAGGAGGGCTGAGAGGCCCACATTTGGGAGTGTCCGTAAGGCGTGTGTGCTTATGCCATCTGGGCCCGGTGTTGTAGTGTTCTGAAGACGGTGTATGGCCCGGCGGAGTTCGAGGAGATGAAAGGGGGAATCGTCAAACTCTGGGGCCCCTAGCCGGGGATCATCAAGGGGAGCAAAAATGCCCTTTGGGCAGGTACGCCCAAAGAAGGATGCAAAGGCTTCCGCCTGCTGGATGGGACTGAGTAAGTAGTCTGTCGTTTGGATTATATGTTGTGTGGCCGTGATTGCTGGCGGGGATCTCAGTCGACAGAAGATGTGATAGAGTGTGGATGGAGAGGGGGGAGAGGCACACAAATGACCCCACCACTTCCCTACGAGCCTGATGGGACTTCCGACGGAGTTTTGCTCCTAATTGTTTATATTTATCCCATCAGGAGTGAGACGCCCGCCTGCAGGCTAGGCGGAACGCACGACGTTTAAGCGCTCTAAGGCAGCTGCATTCAGGGGTCCACCACGGTGGTTGACCCGAGGAGGGAATGGAGCGAATTATAGTATTAGAGGAAACTGTCTCACGGATAGTGTCTACAAAGGCGTTATACGAGGTGGGAATCGATTCCTCGGTAGTCCAAAGCTGATTGAGGTTATTTGAATAACGACTCCAGTTTGTTGAAAAGTGTAAACGAGGGGTAGTCGTCGGGTTAGGGGTGCTCGAGATAGAGTGATCGAAATAGGAGCATGGTCACTGGTTAAGGTGTCCACGCAAGGGCTCCATAAGGCGGAACCTAGTATATCCGGGGAGCAGAAGGTCAGGTCTATAGCTGATGATCCGTTTGGGTGGAAATAAGTTGGTTCCTCTGAGTTCCAACAGCATAAGTTCATGGTTGAGAACCAGTCGAAGACGGTGCGACCTGTGATGTTTCGGCATTTGCACTTGTTATCCCAATAAGGATAATGAGTGTTCCAGTCCCCGCACACTATGTGAGGGTGGTGATTGCCCCGCAAAAGGGGGTTTAGTGAAACAGCCAAAAGGACGCTGTGTGGGGAATATACATTAACAAGGGAGAGAGGAGCCAGTGAAAAGTATACCAAGGTCTCTTGATATTTGGTGCCAGTGATCTTGGGACCAGGGGGAAGCTGGTGGGCGGGCCACCGGTGGGACACCGCTGTTAGGAGACCCCTTCTTGAGCTGAGGTGCGATCCTGGTGGAAGAGAGTGAATCCTGGAATGGAAAAGACCACTTCAGGAGTTAGCCGTGTCTCCTGTACCAGGATGATGTCTACGGTACTTAGCCAAGACACCGCCAAAAGAAGAGCACGCTTAGAATGAACACCTCTCGTGTTCCAGTGTATCAAGTGGAGATTTTGCAAGTTGCTTGAGGAGTTAGACATTATGCTTGGTGGTATTGGGCGGGTGGCGGCGAAGGTTAGCCTTCTCAGCTGGGGAGGCAATGCAGGGGTCTTCTAGGGGAGTTACTCTTGTGGATCCAGTGGAGTACGTGTGGTCCATGTCCGAATTTGGATCTTCTGAATCGGATGCTGCCAATGGATCGGTGGAACGAGGTTTAGGTCCTTTCTTCTTCTTTGGGAGTTGTGCTGGAGTCAAAGAGCCCATCGGGTGGAAAGAGCACTTACTTGATATGGATACGGTCAGTTCCTTGTCCAGACTCGGCTCACGGAGGGAACCCTGAGTTTGGTTAAGCAGGGTAGGCTGAATGATAGAGCGAAGAAGACTTAACTTCGCGCACAGCTTCTCCACTATGGATTCCAATTGGGAAATACGATTGGTTAGGGTCAAAATGTCATCTGTCTGTCCAATAGTAGAGAGAGCTGGCTGTTTTTTACTACAAGGGGTCCTCTCGGGCAGTTTTGGGGGGGAAGTTGAGGCCACTCTTGCATATGATTTTGGGGAGTTGCTCTGTGGGTGCTTGGCTTCTAGATAAGAGCAGTGCTGGATGGCGCTGAATTTTAACAGGCATGCCTTTTGCTGATGGGCTGGGCAGCGGGGAGAATCCGCAGAATGTTCTCCTCCGCAATGCACACAGCTGGCTGCAGCAGCGGTACATGTGATCCGGTCATGATCAGCCCCGCATGTAATACATTTGTGGTGGCCGCGGCATGTCGTGGGCGAGTGGCCAAAATTGCGGCATCGCTTGCATTGGCGTGGGCGAGGAATATATCGCTCATGGTGATATCGTTGGTAATAGATAGTAACGGATTCCAGCGGGGAGGCACTGGCCACTGAGAAGTAAACCATGGAGATAGGCCCGATGCTATCCCCAACCCGTCATGTAAAACGACGTATCTCTAGGATTGGAAGGTGGGAGTCCGAAAGTATATCGTAAATTTCTTGGGCTGTGATCGACGGATCCACCCCACGAAGGAGATAAGCGTTATGGGCACAGTCCGGGGCCTGATGTCCACAGACTGGTATCCCTGCAATATCTGGAATACAAAGAGCTGCTTCTGCAGCTTGTTGATCCAGAGTTTTGATTATTAGAAGACCATTACGGGAGTAGCGGACATCTAGCAGCAATTCCGGTCGGGGGAAATGCAGTTTGAAGGCCGCGCGAAGCTCAGCCAGACGAAGACGTCGGAGAGGTCCCTGTCCTTCCAGAAAAATCGTATAGATTTGGTCCGAAGGAAGGGACGAACGGATGGAGGAGAGATTCTCCAATTCCGACAGAGGAGAAATAAATCTGAATTCGTCAGAAGTTATGAGTGCATCTGATCCCGATGGTGCTTTTGAAGGCGCTCGCGCGAAGGCTACGCCATTACCGAGTCTGGAGGAAAAGCCACTCCGGCTGAAACAAAGAGGAAAACTCCTACCTGGACAGAGAAGAGGACAAGGAAGAAGATCAGAAGCTAAAGAATAAGGAACTGTAGTAAAGTCGACAAAAGTCGCAGGAAAGAGTTACTTAATTAAAATCACTGAAATCGAGGAACGAAATGTGCACACCAAGATGGCGGTTGAATTTCGCGCCTTTGTCGCGAAAGGGAGTCCAGTATCCTCGTGTTTCTTTATGCAGCGACAGTGTAGCGAAATGACGTCACGAGCAGTGTTGGCCAATTAAAAACCAGTTTCAGTGTGTTCGCTGTAAAGCGCTTCTAGAGCACTGCATAAAGAAACGCGTGGTATTTAAACGAGGCTTAATTTTCTAATTACGAGTGGTTGTTTGTTTCGCGAGCAATAAAATAATTTAAAAATAATTTTTAACGATACAATAGCGACGATTATTATTTTAAAAAGTTTTTTGCTTTTTTATTACCAAAAAAATAAAAATGCTGTTCAAGCAAGTAAAAAATCGTGTGACGTATGGTGGAGATGTGTTGACAGAACGACAGTGCCAAAACTGGTTTACAAAATTTCGTTCTCGCAATTTCAGTATTGAAGATGCACCACGTTATGGATGGCCAATTGAAGCCAATGAAAACAAAATAAAAGGTACCGATTGAAACAAACTGTCGAATAACAACACGTGAAATCACTAAGAGATTAAATTTATCAAATTGAACCATTTATGAGTACTTGAAACAAATTTGTTTCGTTTTAAAGCTCGATATATGAATTCCACGAGTTCTTAGAGAAATGCACTATTTGGTGGGATATTAAGGACATTTTTTTGGAGCTTTTACCAGACAATTTAACAATTGATTCGAAAGTGCACTGCATTCGAGTAAACAAATTGCGTAATATCATCAAACAGAAAAAGCCAGCCAGAATTGATCGACAAAACAGGTGTAGTGTTTTACCACAATAATGTCAAATTTCACACAAGTTTGGTAACTGGTCAGAAACTGTTATAACAGATGGGACGTCCTATCACACCAACCATATTAGCCAGATCGAGCACACTCAGATTATTACTTGTTCCGGTCTGTACAATTTTTTTTAACTGTAAGACATTTACTTGAAATGACAATGTCAAAAATCACTTGGATCGGTTTTTTGTAAGCAACGATCAAAACATTTATGAATGTGAAATCGTGCTACCACCAGAAACGATGACAACAGGTATTTGACCAAAATGGTCAACATATAATTCAATAAAATATTTATTTATCATAAGAATATTGCGTTTTTTTCCACGGAAAAAAACGAACTTACGTTCCGAACAACCCAATAATTACATGGGATATACTAATATACTATAGTCTATTAATAATGTATCTTTTCATACTTTTCAGTTATCCGACAACCCCAGTTCCCAATTGAGTCGGATAATCGATGCTCTACTGTACTTTAATTTTACGATATAATTTTTAATAAATTAGACGTTTTTTCATTATTTATCGTCATTTGTAAGCATTAAATTTCTATGACAATACAGTACCTTATACAAAGTAAAACAAGTTCTTTATTTTTTCTGTGGCAGTGCAATCAATTAGCTGAAAAAATTGGTTATTTGAAATTGTTTCAGCCCGATTATTTTGGATTTTCAACTCTACTGTATATCAAGTTGGCACTACAAAATGTTTCATCTCTGAGAAATTTAATGGTTAAAGTAAATACAGTAGAGCGTCGATTATCCGAAAGTCAATCATCCGAAAGAATTCCAGTCGGCAAATTTAAATTTTCGCCAGTGCTGTGGCGCTGCAATCTTTGGCTATGTCTTGGGCTACTCAAATATTTTACGTTTTTGATACTAAATTAATTTCTGAAGTATAACTTTTTATTGTTTTTATATTTTTCAATATATTTATTTCGTTCGTTCAAAATAAAAAAATAATTTTTAACGATACAATAGTCTTCGTTAGGCTTAACAGCGACGAAAATTCAACGCGAAGCGACACGCAACGGAGAAAAATTTCAACATGGGATAAATTATTTTTTCGTACATAATCGGTTATCCGAATCATCGATCTTCCGAACCCGTTCCCAATTGATTCGGATAATCGACGCTCTACTGTAATTTGAATAAAAAAACTGTATTTGGGACAAGACTATGTCTCGGAGATTCGCTACTGAGTGTAATCACTTTGACGTTGAAGTGGGTCTCGTTCTCATTCTCCAATCTTCTTCGGTATCGTTCAGACTTCGCCGCCCATCTCCACCATGCATTTTCGGTGAATTTCTTTCCGTTGCCTGTCGGCCCGGGTTGAATTTTTACCACGTCTTCAGCGGCGTGGCTAAAATCTGTACGTGGCTCGTCCTACCTTGTCCGTCAAGTCCACGTCTTTTGTTCTGCTGGTAATTTGTATCGGCAACGCGATATTTACAGTAGCGTCGAGATATAATATAAATCCAAGATCGCGCGGCTGTCGACTCGAAAGGTTAACTAAATGAAGTAAAAAGATCTCTTCTCGTTAGAGTTTAGGAGCAAAGTGAAATCAAAAGGCGAAGGTCACGCGCAGGCGCCCTCAGTCCTAAGGTCAGAGTTCACTTCTTAGAATGACTGCGGGTGGTACTCTCCCTTACCTGACTTCGGTGGGGTGAGGTGGCTGTCTTGCCTTTTGTAGAAGAGGGTCGCCATTTTGTATTTTATTTTGACACGATTCTCGGTCCTCCGACTACCTACGAGTCTGGAGTTTTTATGCGCAAATGATTTGGGCACCTAATACTCTGTGCCAAATATCAACTCTCGAAATGTACTCCTTCATACCTCTATGCTGATAAGAATGGGTGGCAGTAGATTTTATAAACAAGACATAGTCTTGTCAATAATGTAATGCAAGTTTTGAATTGGTAATTGCAAGTCAGGTGAATATGTTGCCATTTAACTATGCTTCCAGACACCTACTTCATCAGAACTATGAATTCATATATGTATATACAGTAGAGCATCGATTATCCGACTCAATTGGGGACTGGGGTTGTCGGATAACCGAAAAGAATGAAAAAAATACATTATTAGTATAGTATATTAGTATATCCCATGTAATTAGTATATTAGTATATCGTTATCCTACTTCGCGTTGAATTTTCATCGATGTTAAGCCTAACAAATTTTTTTAAAACATATTAATCGTCGCTATTGTGTCGTTAAAAATTATTTTTAAATTATTTTATTGCTCACGAAACAAACAACCACTCGTAATTAGAAAATTAAGTCTCGTTTAAATACTGGCCGCCCTTCAATGGTCGAGTCGTCGTTGCCAGCTAAAAAACGCAAAAATTTAACAAATATAATATTAAAGTAGCCAAGATGTAGCCAAATATTGTAGCGCCACATCACTAGCAGACATTAGAATTTGATGACTAGAACGCGGTCGGTTAACCGATGTGACAGTTGATCGGGGGTCGGATAATCGATGCTCTACTGTATATCATACTGTTATTTTTCAATTCAGAAGGAATGCTCTGAGCTAGACTGATATGGGAGTTGTATATGCTGTATGTTGTTTATTAATGTACAAGACAGTAGAGAGGTTGAGGCGCACGTATTTAGCCCAAAACGTGTACGGCTAATGGGTGAGCGCCGCCATCTGGCAGTTCTGGACCGTCCATAATGGCGTTTGCTACGCGTAGCTAGGCGAGTACACGATCGGCTTAAACGTCTTCATTTTTTTTGCGTTTGGGGTTAAAATTATGATTTCTTTTATTAAAATAACGATTACTTAAGCATTTATGAATAACATTGTAAAGAAACAGACGATCTTAATCCAAAAATTATTTAATTATCTAATACAAGCAGACCCGGTCACGCGTTGTTGTGGCTCAAAATGTATCTATTATAAATGTATAACACTTCCCCCGTGGGGGGAAAATTTTTCGAAAAATTTCTTTTTAGTGTACATTCTCTCGACGTACCCTATTAAAACGCAAAAAAACCGCATCTAAAATAGTATAAATAGAAGCAGATTTCTTTACGGTAAGCCTTAATCCTAACCATCTCCCTTCAGTGGGGTTGAATTTCGACACGTATATTATATTAAAACACGTGCGCATTCGAATGCGGCGTTGTATCAAAATTTCAAAGGAATCGGTAGGAACAAACGAACATTACATTTTTATTTATATAATTAGATAGAAGATGATCCGCTTTACTTCATTTTCACAGAAAAGCGTAATGCCTGGCAGAAAAGCAAACTTAGGGCGTCGTACTCGTAGCGCCATCTGTTGGACATAAAGCCTTAACCTAGATTATATTTTTAAATTTATATGAATGTTTAACGGAATAATATACAGCCTATGTCCACCCCGAAGTTCCATTCTAAATATTGGTGAAAGAATTTTTGAAATCGGATGAGTAGTTTCGGAGATTACCTGCTGCAAACAAACTTAC